AGTAAGAGCCGGTATCCTCCCAGCCTAGCCGCAGATTCAGTAAACAAGCGTATGACTAGTCAAGGTTCTTTATGCCTGGACCAAAGGGTAAAGAATAGGTATGCTCCTATTTGACACAATACAATTTGAACTGATATACTTTATCCATTCACTATAATTTCTTGACAAGAAGAATGATGTTTTCTTAGATATTGAATATCACATTAAAAATTTTATTAGTATAATTAGTTGTTTAAGAGTTATCAAAATTACATATTTATTTCAATTGTCTATTAGTGACAGATAAGCAATTTAAATTTCATTGTTACAATTAAAGTATTGTTTTTCTAAAATCTTAGTTTGTAGTTCTAATATTACTCCTTGTAGGATCGATATCTAGGACTCCATTAGAGCCCTATATTACTTGAGCGATACATATACTTGCGTTGATAAGTGCAACTTTACCATTATTGAATATTTTATATATACATCTTTATCGAATCTATAACTATTATTAAGTTTTTGGTGTCGTTGCTAAGGAATTAAATCTTTTAGCAGCAGTATTAAATACATGTATTTTTAAGCATATATAAAGTCGTTGTCAACTTTAAGGCCATCCAGATTTCCTTTTCATTAGGAGGATGAGTCAAGAAGAAGTTTCTAGTGTAGGAGTGTTCTTCTCTGAACATATTGGGCTCGATTGGAGTTATGTCAAATGGAGGTTGAGCTAATAATTGTTGGAAAAAATTCACTGCAACTTCTGCAATGGTAGTATTGTCATGTATCCAGTGTCCCTCAGCATTTTGGATACCAAGGATAATATTGCATCTGCTTCTATGTTTTATGCAGGCATGATAAAACTTGGTGTTCCTGTCTCCATCATTAAATCTAGCAATAACAACTTTCTGGCAAAGTAAATATTCCTGTCAGTCAATGGCAATAAGAAGTCTTTCTTGTGCAGCAATCAATGAGTTCTCCTCCTCTTCCTGGTTCAGAACAGCAGCTTCCAGGGCCCTTACCTCCTTCTCAGCAGCCTCCACATTCTTAAAGATATTACCAATGGACTTCCAACCCTAGTTTTTGAGAGCTTTGCTTATTTTAAGATGCAGGAGCCAAATTTTGACTAAGGGGTCTTCATGTTAGATGCCACTTCAATTCAGAGCAACACAATCAGTGAAGGAGGGATGGTCATACCAAAGGTTAAGATACCTGAAAGGAGGAGGACACTTTGGAGAAGGAGAAGGAGCATCAATGGAGATAATTAATGGTCTATGATCAGAACCAACCATGCTCAAGTGAGAAACAGAAGTGCGGGGAAATAGTTGAAGCCAACTATCATTAACTAGAAACTTGTCCAGTATTTCTTATATTTTGCCTCTCCTCCATGTAAAAGAGGGCCCATTGAAACCCAAGTCAAACAAGTTGGTAGCCTGGATGTTATCACTAAAAGCAGTGAGTTTGGAGATATTAGGAGATCTATTCGCAATCTTCTCAGCATAATGGGCAATGCAGTTAAAGTCTCCTCCCACCATCCATTTATCAGACATGTTGGAGCTAATGGAGTGAAGAACAGACCAAAGTTCAATTATAGATGTTTTATTGCATCCAACATAAATGAAAGTCACATAACTAGAGTTTCCATTGATAGTAAAGGACAGATGGATTAGTTGAGGGTGATCCAGCAACACGGTCCAAGAGATTTCTTTTTTGCAAAATATCCATATCTAATTTTTTATATTAGTAAAGTGGGAAAATCCAGGGAATTTATTAATTAATTTTTGGGGGTGTTTATGAACCATAGGTTCCAAGATAGACATGCACCAAAGCTTATGTTTTTTGTTAAGATGTAATAACCTTATAAGAGAGAGGGGATGTGCAGTCCCCCTAATGTTCCAGCAAGGGAACTTAACCATGAGGAGATGGTTGTGATCTGGATCTCCCCCTTCCTCTCTTGGTTCTAGAGGGGGAGTCAATTCTGGAAAGGCTGTGAACAACATTGGAAGGGCCTTCCTGAAGTCTATGATGTTAAAAATTCAGCATCTTCTTCTTTTTGACTTATTCAATTAGCATGTCCTGGTCAAGTGCCAGGTTCATTTTCTTCAAGGCTGCAGAGGAGGTATTTATTGGTAATGTGGGGGGGGGGGGGGCAAGTGTGAGCCACCAAGGGAGGATTAGTATTGCTTTCATTTGAATTACAGGGTACTTCTTCTGAGTGTTTGTTGGCTGCTCAGCTCTTTTATCAACCTGAGATGGAATGGAATCTTGAGTTTCAGAAAGAGCCCTGGTATTATTGAGCTGAGTCCCCACATTATCAGAGCCCCCAACCTCAATATGTTCAGTAACCAAATGATTCACCATGGCAGGACCTAAATCACCCTGGCTTGGCTTTTTGGATTTGTTTTTGGAGGGTGGATGTAACCTGTGAAATTTGTCTTGGGTATGTCCAAACATTCTACAGTGAGGACAACAATACTGTTTTTGCTCCATAACAATTTTCTGCCAATGCCCCATTCTCTTCAGTTCCCAGCTAGATCTCCTCTACCTCAGGTAGAGTAATGTCCCTTTCCACCAATATCCTTGCCACAGAGGGCCTAGAAAGGTTGTATGTAGGGAAGTCCATCTTCAATGGCCTACCCAATGCAAGACCAATATTAAACAAAGCTTTGTGATTAAAGAAATGCAAAGGCAGTCGTGGAAGTTTAAACCAAATAGACACAATGGTGAGCTCCTTGCTAGGATCAAAATTAGGAGTTCATTTGATGATTTTTATTGTAATGCCTTCTATAATAACATTTTGTTTACTAAACAATCTAGCAACCTTATATATATATATATATATATAAACATGTAAGGTTTGGGTGGTATGTCTGAAAAAAACATAAAGAGAAGAATTGTGTGTATGTATGTATATCTGTATATAAATTGTGGTATATGAATTGAGTAGTATGTATTTAAATCTCCACAGTTCAGTTGGTCAGTGGAATGAAGTCCGACCATCAGAATGTAGTCGGCTCGGTGTCAAGTAGTCTGGTCGGCAAGATGAATTTAGTGAAGTTTGATCGGAAAAATGAAGTCCGGTTGGCGAGATGAAGTGCGGTCGGCGAGATGAGGACCGATCAGTGAAATGTAATCCGATCGACGGGATGAAGTACAGTCGGCGAGATGAAGTTTTGTCGACAAAACATAGTCTGGTAGACGGGATGAAGTGTGGTCAATTTGGTCGATAGATGCGAGACCCCAACTTACGGCGGAAGAGAAATGTGGAATTGAAATTTTCTGTTAGGGAAGAATACTGAGTGGAGTGAGTGAAGAAATACGAGAGAGTGATAGAGCCTGGGGAGAGGAAGTGAAAGTCTCGATTAGAGGTGGAAGTGGAGAGGAAGTAAAATATGGAAAGCTCGCAGCTTGAGGGTGATGGGAAGTAAAATATGGGCTGCCTGAGAAGAAGAGACATGAGGAGTTTGAGAAGGTTTGGTAAAATTGTGAGAAGAAGAGTTTCATGGCTACCATGAGGTGACGTCGATGGATGCTTAAGAGGCGATGGGGATTGAAAGTATAGGTTGGCTATATTTCAACATGATCTATACGGAGAAAGAGATGAAGTTTGTAAGTGATCACCGGTAATGAGGAGTAAAGAAAGTGGTTGCTTTTGTGCAAGTTCCACTTGTGTGTTCTTTGCTAAAAGTGTGCCTCTGAAGAGTTCACTCTTGGTGTTAGCTCGTCTTTTTGTTCACAATATGATCCAAACTTAACACACCTTCAAGAATGTTGAATCTAAATTTGTCCGGTAGACTATGCCCAATGACTAGAGCGTGAGAGAGAGAAAATAGAGAAAGAGAGAGAGAAGGAAGAGGGGATGAGGACTTCCTCTAGCAGAGGAAAAGAAGTGTTCCCGGGCTCGTGAGCCATTTTATTCCATCAAAAATATATGTTACAATTACGATCCCCCCAAAAGGGTCCACCTTTACGTTATAAAACTCTTCTATTTATAGAAGATTTTAGTGGTAAATAATATATAAAAATTACAGATCTAGCACTGCTTTAAAGAGATCCAAAAATGCATTCTAATCTATTTATCTTGGACTGTCAGATTACCTTAAACCTTTTGCAGATCATACATATATATATATATATATACATATATATATATATGATTTACATATATACACCACATCATACAGAAAAAAAAACTTTTTTTATATTAAACTAATAAATAAATAAAATAATCATTTTATATAATATACATATAGTTTCTAAAAAAATTCATTGTTGCGTGTTATGAGTTATTTCCCTCATTATCGTGGTTGAACCAAGGTAAAGTGGGTCTTTTTGACATTTCGGATGGATCTCAGCCGTCCGTTTCGTGAATGTACATATATATCTATATATATATATACATGTACATATATATATATAGATATAGATATATATATAGCGTTGTGTACTCATATCAGTGAATCGGATATTTACTTGTTAGTTATAAGTCTCCTCTAATTTAAAATTTGATTCCCGTGTGATACGAATTGTTTCACAACATAGATAGCCAAAACCGGTGTTGTGTACTCATATCAGTGAATCGGATATTTACTTGTTAGTTGAGGAGAGAGGGAGAGAGAGAGAGAGAGGCAGTTAGGCCATTATAATTCTCCTCGAGAAGCACGAGACCTCTGCTCCCGAAAGCCATCAACCCGTCCGTCCCCAAGTTCACATTTTCCGCCCGCACCGACTCGTCATTCCCGGCCCTTCTCCCGTTCATCGAGAAGTTAAACACGTGTCATGATATCATCGGCGCTTCGCAGGTTCCGTTTCCACGGTCCCATGTCTCGGTGCACATCAAGCTTTCGGACTGATAAAGACCGATGGCCTGGATTATTGGGTGGCGCTCCCGGAAACTCCAATTAATATATATATTTTTAAATTTACAAAAAAGACCCTTATTAATATTTAATCTTCAATTTCACCCACGTGGAAAAATTCGCCACTTGGCTGAAGGACACGGAGGGTTTACAAGTAAACGGTCGCTTTTCTCTCTAGCTTTCTAAAGCCTCTAATTCGGTTGCCAAAAGTGGGGAAGGAAGTCCGACCATGGCTTCCTGCTACCGATTCACTATTTCTCACTGTTTGTTGATTCTTTTTCTCTACCTTCTTCTTAAATCGAAGACTCGGCGAATAGTACGGGGCGCTATCTGATTGGAATCTGCTGAAGTGTCGGTTCACGGTTCTTATTCTGTATATTTGGGTCTTTGAAATGGGTCGCTGAGGTGTGAAGAAGGAGAGCTCAGCTCGATCCTTCGGCGTATGGTGAGGCTCTTGCGGATCTAGTTACTTTGCTGCTATCTCACGGCTTTGACTGCCCCCCTGTGCGATTCTTTTAAAAGACAGCTTCTTCGGGTTTAATTTTCTTTTGTGGGGTTGAAGGGGTTGGGAAAAGAAGCAAAAGGTGCAATTTTTAAGGCTTTCTGATGGGAAACTGCTGGAGCACGAGGTTCAAGGTTGTGGCTCCCTCTTACAGCGCTTCTACGTTGGCTGCGAGTTCAGGTGGTCTGCTTATACTGTCTGATCTGAATTTAAGTTTGTTCTTGTAGATTTGAGGATTAGATGCTTAGTTGATATAAAAGCATGGAGAAATTTGTCGAATTCTAGATTTGTAGGATATTATGCCTCTGTGTGTGTGTGTGTGTGAGTTTGAATTTTTAGCATAATGTGTGATCTTTTCCATTCATTTTATGCAAATCACAATTATGAAAAGTTTAAATTTTGATTGATAATTTCTTTCCGTCGGCTATTCTTGTTTTCCATTTCTCCATAGCAAGTTTATTTATTTATTTTTCTCTATGACCTTGGCGAAATGCCATACTATTTATTGAACAAAATTTTCTTTTTTAACCATCAAAAGTATTTCATTGATGTAGTTTTTTGTATGTTCACGATCAACTAAATTTCTGTAATGATCTAATTGAAGTATATTTGTTCAATTACTTTTAAAATTTACATGTGGAGCTCGATTTCCTCATCCATTCAAGTTTTATTCCTTCAGGAGCTAATTCAAAGATTAGCAGTAAGAGTGGACATGGATTGAGCACCACCACTACCAGCAGTAGTAACAGTAATGTTTCTTCATCTTCTGTTCCTCCTGCCCCACGTAGTGAGGGAGATATTCTACAGTTTACAAATGTGAAGAGCTTCTCCTTCAACGAACTCAAAAGCGCTACTAGAAATTTTCGCCCTGATAGCGTGTTGGGAGAGGGAGGTTTTGGTTCAGTTTTTAAGGGCTGGCTTGATGAGCAAACGCTGGAAGCAACAAAACCAGGCGTTGGGATAGTTGTTGCTGTAAAGAGGCTCAACCAAGATGGCTTCCAGGGTCATAGGGAATGGTTGGTGAGTATTCTATTCAAAATTTAATTGCATTTATGTTAGTTGATCTTTTTTTTTCAATGATATTGTCACATAATAAATAAGGAAGATTTTCTTACATTCCGCTCAATTCTTAGGTATTTACATTTCTAACACAGAATCTTCAATTTTTACACATATGCCATCTAGCTTCTAACCTATGCATAAAATGGCGTATTTCACTTTTTAAATGTTAAAATTTGGTATTTTAGATGTGAATGTGATATGAAAGATTTGGGTGGTATAAATGTACAAAATAATGTTAAGTTTTAGATATCTAAATAGATTAGAATTGGGTGGTATGAATGTAAATGCCCCTTGAATATAAGTTTTAGTTTGAAACTCGATTTATCCCATATTCAAAGAGTCTTTTTACATTTAAACAAAATTTTGAAATACAATGCGCTTTGCAAATATTAAAAGAGTTATTTTGGTACTTTTTTTAGTAACAGCAGTAAATTACCAAACTGAAAATGTGCTTATTTCAAAATTTGAAGGCAGAAGTAAATTATCTTGGACAGCTACGGCACCCCAATCTTGTGAGGTTGATCGGATACTGCTTAGAGGATGAACACCGGCTACTGGTCTATGAATTCATGCCCCGCGGGAGCCTCGAGAATCATCTTTTCAGGAGTAAGTTTATTCTTTTTTCATATATCCAAATTGTTTTATGCATTCATCTGGAATTTTTTTTTCTTTTCCGCTCGTATTTCAGTATTAGTACTTTGTCAAGTTGAGAAGTTGAATGTGGAGTTACAAATTCGATTGAAATTATTCAGGAGGCTCATATTTTCAGCCACTTTCGTGGAATTTGAGAATGAAGGTTGCACTTGAGGCAGCAAGAGGATTGGCTTTTCTCCACAGTGCTGAAACTAAAGTCATTTATCGTGATTTTAAGGCTTCCAATGTTCTTCTGGATTCAGTATGTAAATTTCACTATTACCAGCTCTTGTAACATTGTTCTTAGCATTCTATTGAGATTACAAGGTTAAGCGTTATATCTTTGTACCACTCAATTCTTTTGCATTTACATGTCTAAATCCTATTACTTCAATTCTATATGTATGCCACAACAATTATGCATGAAAAAGTGTATTTTACTCGTTAAAGGTTAGAAAGTGTTTTTTTTTGTCATGTGAAAGATTTGGGTGGGGTATGAAAGTAAAAAAGTAACCATTTAGCTGTTAGATATTAATACATAGGAATTGGGTGTTATGTATGTAAATGACCCTATTATTTTTTAGAAAGATTTGCATACTATACAGTTCCTATGTTTTTACATATCTTAACACCAAAATTTAACTGTGGTATTTTTTATGTGATATTAAAGGTTCAAGTGTCATAAATATAAAAGATAAATTTTAGGTCTTGGATATGTAAATACATTAGAAGTATTTATGTAAAGGCCCATATATTATTATCTATGCTGTTTTTTATTCACGGTTCCACACCATTTGTCTGCCGAACAGAACTACAGTGCTAAACTTTCTGATTTTGGTTTGGCGAAAGACGGACCCTCAGGTGATAAGAGTCATGTTTCCACGAGGGTAATGGGAACATACGGATATGCGGCTCCCGAATATCTGGCAACAGGTAGTTGTTACTTTTCATATTCTTTTCGTTTTGCTTTTGCTAATTAATTCATTAATCTGGCAACTTGAATCTAAGTTTTTTCTTTATAAATTGTCTGGGGGCAACCTGCAGCCATTCTGCAATAGGTAATGGATGCCATTAGGATTCCTTCGTCCAGAAATACTTATCTCACGTGTGATGAGAGAATTTGATGCAGTTTTCAAGTTTTTCTTTTAAATTATGAGTTGATTTATTTTCAAGAAGATTTACATTTAGACCACAGAATTATTACATATTTACATCCTTGAATTTTCTATTTATTATATTTTAGGTGCCTATGAAAAGGTAAGTCCCCACATTTAAAAAGTTGTATTAGTAGTTTCTTTACCGTGATATCAAATGTTTGGGTTTTGTAAACGTAAACAAAATTAAAGCATTTAAGTACTTAAAAATTGTACAGTTCGTATGCAAATGCCCGCTTATTTTAGAGATAAGTGAAGGTATAAATAAGTCCAGAGTCCAATAAAATCAGATCATGGGGAGGTGACAGAAAAATAAAAAAAAATTTATTTTGGCACAAGAGAATATTCCCCCGTATTATTTCGCGTTATTAAGATGTTATTGTGAATATTCCTCTATATTTGTGTTAGCACAAGAGAATATTCTCCTGTATTTGCGTTCTAGAAATATTTTCGGGATTATAATAACACAATAACACAATAACACATCAATATCATCACAATAAAACCTGAATAATACAGAATAACATGAGAGAAATATTTCCGTGTTACCGGGCCGAAAATGTGTTTTTTTTTTTTTTTTTTTTTGGCTTTTACGGGGGGGGGATTCTTTGGTGATTCATTGGATTCCGAACGTATCTTTACGTCTGTTCTTATTTTATTATAAGAACCAAGCTGTCTGTTCTTATTTTATTATAAGAACCAAGCTAGGTGAAGAAATTGAGATAAATGTGCAATGATAAGTATTAGCAAGGGTGAAGTCCTGAGAGGCAGCTTCACGTGGAGGTGATTCATTAGATTCCGAATGTATCTTTACGTCTGTTCTTATTTTAATGATAAGTATTAGCAAGGGTGAAGTCCTGAGAGGATTTTTTTTTTCTGGTAACATTTAATCAAGATAAAATATTAATTAAAATAGGATAATAAAATATAAATTTAGGTGGTTTTGCTACCACAAAGTTGCTGTACAAATACCAAATTCGTTGAGATTTTGTCCTAAACTGAAATGCTTTTTTGTTGTTAGGTCATCTAACAGCGAAGAGCGATGTATACAGCTTCGGCGTCGTCCTGCTGGAGCTGTTATCTGGCAGACGCGCGGTGGACAAAAACCGGGCGCCTGGTGAGCACAATCTAGTGGAATGGGGAAGGCCTTACCTCACAAACAAGCGCAAGATCTTCCGGGTGTTGGACAGCAGACTCGAAGGACAGTATTCAATGGAAGGAGCTCAGAAAGCAGCCTCCCTTGCCTACCAGTGCTTGTTGACTGAAGGTAGGTTGAGGCCGAGCATGGAGGAGGTGGTCTCTGTGTTGGAACAGCTTCAGGAGAGGAAGAACGGAGAGAAGAAGACGAACCAGTTGGAGCAGAAGATGCTCGCCCAGAGCTTCGGAAGTGGATCACAGAGGCCCAGGATTAGAAGCTTGGAAGATAGTGCCAGCGCAAAGGTGGCTTATCCCAGGCCTTTGGCCTCTCCTCTGTTCGAGTAAGGTGAGAGGTACTTTGATAGTAGGGAAGTTTGAACTGAAAATCTGTGAAGTTTTTTCATTGTGTTGTTTTGGCAGTGCGCATGTGTAGTGTTGATTTGATTTCTTTTTGACCGCTGGTTAAAATGCAAACTTGTTTGGGATGTGGGAACTTTTTGATATTTTAGTCTATGATGCGGTTGTAGGGGAGTGCTGCAAAGCATAAATTATTGGGAGACTTTTAGCATTTATGTTTGAAAAAAAAAAGAAAAAGAAAAATGTAGCATTTATGTTTGGATTTTTTGTATTATTTTAAAGCATTGAATATGAATTTGTTTGGTGATTTCTTATGTTTAGGGTGATATAATAAGCATTTGCTTTTATAAAAAGTTTAGGATAAGGCGATTAAGTAATGTTTAAAAAAGCTGGGATAATTAATAATAGGGGTTTTTATATAGGAAGCACTCAAATCAGTGCTTTTTACATATACCACGCTAAAAAATTTAGAAAAATATGGAAAGGAGCACCCTAATTGCGCTTGCACCTCGGTTCCTTCCTCTCTATTCCCACCGTTTGTGTTTCGCCATCCCCTTTCTTAAACCTTCAGCCTATCTCCCTACCTATCTTCCGATTATGTGAAAAAACCAATGTTTTCATGACCAAAACCCTTGTGGAGAGCTAGTTGGGAAGACAACGACAGGATCGTGACGTACAAAAATCTTTCTGTTCTGTCGAAAAACCATCGACTTCATGATTGAAACCCTCATGAGGAGAGTATTTGGGAAAGCAACGATGGGATTGCGGCGCACAAAGACCTTTCAAACTCTTATAGTTCTGCTGCTTTTGGTCCGCTCCAACTTTGAAACCATTGAGTACAGTAACCTTCATCATGCACCTACTTTAATTTTGCTCATGCTTTTAGCTAATTCTTCTTTGGAATGGATTCTACCATAACGAAAACAAATGAATTTTCAAAACCTAACACAGCAATAAAAAAGCCTTAGGATCGGAGAGCTTAAATGGAAGTTGCATGGATCTCAACATTCCCATTTGGGTTTTAAAAAGTCAGCAATTCTAACAATTTGCTGAAGAATGTAATAAAAATGTGCTTTGGATTTTAAATAGCATAACATAAAATTCTTGATGGATGGCTAGATAGCATTTCATAAAGCATGGTATGACAAATGAATTGGAATTAGATATAAAATTTGTTCATGATGATTGTTAAAACACTAAAACCATTTTAATTGGAAATGCATCATAAATTAATTCTTTTCTTGCTAAGTAATATTGCTTATATAGTTATATTGTTGTTGATATTGAAATGCAAGATTTCCTTTTCTACTGGACTGTGACCAATGATAGTAAGAATTGGCAACCCATTAGTTGTCGTTGCGGGATGTCTTTGGTTTGAATAACTGTTCGAACTCTTTTTGCATTGATAATTTGTCTACATCAGTGTTGGCTTCATTGACATATCTATCTTGGTGTTAGTAAAAAAAAAAAGAAAAAAAATGATATTGAAATAGATCAATTAAAAAAATGAGGTTTTAAGTGTTATTTCTTGTTGAAATATCTAATTTAAATTATAAGATTTATTGCATTTTGCTGTTAAGACTTATAATAAGAAATTTGTTCATAGTTATGAGGAATAAATTTTTTTCTTAATATAAAGAGTATTTTCCTTTCATAAATTATGAATTATTTGTTTTCCTAATTTATATTTTTTCTTATTTTTCCTTTAAAATTATAAATTATTTGTTTTCCTAATTTATATTTTTTCTTATTATCTCCTAATAATTAATATGAATTAATTATTTGAGATATCATGTGATATATCTTTCCTTTAATATGATTTTCCTTTTTATTATTTTTCCTATTATAGGATACTTGTAAGAGTTATTTATATCCATGTTTATATCAATGAAAGTACTCCGAAATATTTCACAACAACAACAACAACAACAACAAAGCCTAAAATATTTCACATAATTCTAAAATTCAACATTGGTAGCAGAGCCAAATTTTTTGCCCTAATCACCGTCGTTGAAGAACCGTGAAACTCCCTTCCCGTCGAACTTCTTGTGGGAAGGGAGGAAGGTTTTCTCCTCAAGCTTCAATCCACCGCGATGGCGAAAATGGTTTTCCACCTCCTATTCGTTCAATTGCTTTTACCACTTGTCTGCGAGTCCTTCTCTGCCGAAAACCCTACGAATTGCGTCTCCTGGTCCTCGTCGATGACCTCGCCATCCGCTCATCTCATTCCCTCTTCTTCAAGTCCCTCGAGTCTCGGGGCTACATTCTTGAATTCCGCTTCGCCGACAATTCGAAGATTCCCCTTCAGCGATACGACCACTACCTGTATGACGACCTCGTCATTTTCTCTCCTTTCGTCCAGCGTTTTGGGGGATCACTTGACCAGGTCGCCGTGCTGGACTTCGTTGATGCGGCGCATGATCTGATCCTGGCTGCGGACTCTTCTGTGTCGAACCTGATCAGGGGGATCGCCTCAGAGTGCGGTGTAGATTTTGACGAGGATCCTGATGTCGTTGTTATTGATCACCTTGGTTATGTTGTTTCAGAGACTGATGGAGAACACACACTCATTGTTGCGATGATTTATACAGTTTGATTTGATTTTGGGAGAAAGTTATAGAGGCTCCTGTACTATTCCGTGGAATTGGTCATTCTATAAATTCTGCTAGTACTTTGGCCTTGAAAGTGTTGTTTGCTTCTCCTTCAGCTTATTCAGCAAACCTATGAACTAAGTTGTCAAGTTCTTCCCTCACAGGTTCCACAATTGCATTAGTGTCAGTTGTGCAGACTAGAAATAATGCTCGCGTGTTGACCTCTGGTTCTGGATTCTTGGAAAATTAACAATGTGCAAAGTCGCCATCTTCTTTTACTCCATCGAAGGTTCCTTCTCCTGCTTCGGCGATCAAGCCTCCGAGCTCTTCTCCTTCACCATCTCCTGCTATTAAATCTCCAAGTTCATCTCCTTCCCCTATTCCGACTACTGAAACTCCACTGTTCTTCGTCTTCATCTTTGACGATGGATCTGAAGAAAAAAGCGAAAAAAATGGAGTTTGGTTCTCTTCTTCATCGTTCTTCTATCTCTCTTTACTTACACTTATTTTAATTCTTTATGATTCCGTTCTTTGATCGGGATTTAAGATCGGATCAGTTCAGATTTGAAGCTTTATATTTTAATCTATTTGATGTTCCTCGTTTCTCCTCTATAGATCTTATCCTGTAAAAAAAAATGGGATCAACAGCTTCTTCAACTTGTACTATTTTACTTTCACCATTGCAATCATGATCTCCCCCACCTTCATTATATATATCTAGAGCAATGTGAGTTGGACACTAGGCTTGGCTATCCCTGCCATTCTGATGCTCCTCTCCTGCATCTTCTTCTTCCTCGGCAGCAGATTTGGTTCATTCCGATCATCCCTCCTTCGACTATTATTTTTTCCTTCAAAGCCGGATTCGACACCATCATCAAATTTTTTCCTTCAAAGCCGGATTCGACATCATCATCAAGATCATTTCAAGAAAATTCAGTGAACTCGTGAGGGCGGCACAAGCGATGCTGCCACCCGCTTCATCATCATCTCACTGGAGATATCGCTGCTATGGATCGGACAAGCCGTTCATTTCTCCTGCAGTATTTTTTCTTCCCTGCCCAAGCATCAGCGGGAGTTGCATTTCCAACCGGACCTTCTCCAAGCAGCCAACAGAATCGGATACCTCTCAACATTCTTCTTTACATCCGATAATTCCTGTAGCTTTTGTTGCACATCGCTTTTTTCCTATGCAGGTGTCGCCAGTCATCAGAGTCAATTTTTGCAGCCTTTATTGTGCCTCAATTTTTTCCCTGCGTAGGTGTCTAGTTCACTACACCATTGTGATCTCGGTGGTTTTCCCTGTGCAGGCATTTGGCCAACTGCAGGCTTGCAGTTTCAGCAAATAGCGGACATTACTTTCTCTTTCTAGTAGAAATTTTGGTTCGCCAATGAGTTTTATTTTTCCTCTCCAGTGCAAATCACAGAAGATCTGCAGTTGAAATCCCTGTTTTCACTAGGTGATCATGGGAGAACCGCACAGAGCATTGGCTTCCTTGTGGGCTCTCCCATGATCGTTTTCCCTGCAGTTTTTTTAGCTGTCGGACCTTTCGATTTCCTTCCAGACCGTTGAAGCACCTACCTACAGCGGGACCTATCCCTTGATGGCTTTTCCTTCCACTGGAACTCCCTCCTGTAGTCATTCCTTCCAGTAAAATTCCCTTCTGCGGCTTTTCCTGCCGCCAGAACTTCTTGCAGACATATCTGCTGCCGACTGGATCTTCGGGCTTACTCATGCAGCCGGTTCTCTCTCCTGCAGCCTTTCCCGCCGTTGAGCCTCCCTCATGCAAATTTTCTCGCCGTTCAATCTACCTCAACAATTTTTTCCTTGCAGATTTTGGTCAGCTATTCTCAAGAAAAGCACTGCTCTTTCCTACAGCATTATTGCAGCCTTCTCCGAGCACTAAAGCTTTCTTGAGCATTGTCATCGGCCCTCTGCAGCTTTCCTGCACTTCTATGCAACCTCATTGCAGCTTTCCTGCAACATCCCTGCAGCCTTCTTGCAGCTTTCCTGCATTTCTCCTGCAGCATTATTGCAGTCATCTTATTGCTTTCATGTAATTATCAGTCAACTGGTGACTTACAAATTCATCAATTGAGCTTAGCTCTCATCCAGGCCACTCCCAAGCTTCGGTACTCTCAGGCTTCGACATTCTCGGCTTCGGAGCTCTCAGGCTTCGACACTCTCAGGCTTCGGCTCTCTTTGGCTTCAGCATTCTCGGCTTCGGAACTTTCGGCTTCGGCACTTACGGTTTGAGAATTGTTGGAGTTTTTTGGCAAATTGATGCTACATGTCCAGTCAGCATACCGCAACCGATGTTTTCAAATTCAAGTTGAATATGGTTTTCAACTTGAGGGAAAGTGTTGAAATATCTAATTTAAATTACAGGATTTATTGTCTTTCCTGTAAAAACTTATAATAGGAAATAATTTATTCTTAGTTATGAGGAATAAATTCTTTCCTGAATATAAGAAGATATTTTCTTTTCATATATTAGGAATTATTTATTTTTCTAATTTATATTATTTCCTATTATCTCCTAATAATTAATATGAATTAATTATTGGAGATATTGATCTTTTCTTTCATATCATTTCTTTTTTTTTTTCTATTATAGGATTCTTGTAAGAGTTTTTTATACCCCTGTTTATATCAATGAAAGTATTCCGAAGTATTTCACATTATTCTA